AGAGTCTCACTATATCACCCTCAGTAGAGTACAGAGGCATCACAACTATAGCGACCTCAAACTCTTGGGCTTAAGCGATTCTCTTGCCTCAGCCTTCCAAGTAGCTGGGACTATAGGTGCCCGCCACAATGCCCGGCTGTTTTTTGGGTGCAGTTGTCGTTGTTGTTTAGCAGGCCCAGGCCAGGCTTCAACCCTCCAACCTTGCTGTATGTGACTGGCACCCTACTCACTGAGTTACGGATGCCGCCAAGTGTTTCTTAAGCTGGAGTCAGAGAATAGGTGCTCATGCATCTGAGTTTTCTGCAAGAATTAAAAAAGTTTGTGCTACCATTTTTTATGATGGAGTAATAAGCCTATTCCAAGCCACCTTGTGAACAACAATCACCCTCAATTTCAGTGCCCGTGTTGGGCTCCTTGTCTACTGAACAAAGCACCAAGGTGGATACAGTACCTATATGAGTCCTTCCAGCTAGGCGAAGGCCATAGGACGTCACCGTGCTCTGTTGAGGAGAATTCCCTGTTGCTTAAAAAGTGATAGTGGTTAACATTTTAATAGCACTTACTATGCACCAAGTATAGTTCAAGTGCATTCTTAGTAACTCCTGTAATCCTTACAACAACCCTTTGAGGGAGATACTTTTATCATCATCTTCCCCATTTCGCCTATGAGGATACTGAGGTGTGGGAAGGTTAGGTAACTTCCCCAGAATCCTACAGCCAGACAGGGTAAGTGCTTGCATTTGAACCCACAGAGTCTGGCTCCAGAATCTGCTCTTACCCACTCTGTAGTTTCCCACGTAGACAAAAATGGTTCACACTCTTGCCTGCTTTAAGTTGAAGAAAACAACTGTGATCCCGTCAAAAACTATGTGTTGTCCAGATTGTGCAGAAGAGCCTCCAGATGATGCGAGTCTGATTTTTTGGAAGCTGTTTTACAGACTTGTTAATTGTAAGTGACTGATCACAGAATAATTCTTATCTATAGATAGGCCAATTCTGTTCCATTACGGAGTCCCATCGACTCCCCTCTCACCCCAGTTTTGTTTCCATTTGCACATTTATCTCAATATTCCTGACCTAGAAATGCCTTATTATTCATAGACTTTTTTGAACTCTTAATAACATCTGCCTGGTTCCCTTGTTGAATAATGAGTGAAATAAACTCTTTAATGTGTGTTCATTTTGATACCTGTAGGACGGCCATAATTTTACCCTTTACTTAAGTTTTTTTTTTTTCCACAGAGAAATTTCTCCACCGTCCCCTTCTCAGAGAGGCCTTTGATGGCCACCTTTATCCTGCACTGCCCGCTGTGTGCACACCCTGTCTTCTCACCACCATAGCCAGCTCTGATTTCCTTTTTCTGAGCACTGCTCACATATTATGTCATGTAATTCATCACGTGTTTACGGCTTGTGGCCTATCTTCCCTTGCTGAAGAGCAGCTCTAGGAGGACAGAAGTCTTTGTCTATTTTGTTTACTGATGTTTCCCAAATACCCAGATGGTGTCTTGGGTGCTCAAAAATAATTGAAGTGGGGAGGGGAGAGAATTGAGTTTTTATGCGGTCTAGTATCTAAAACCATCTTACTTATGAGGACGTATGTTGGAGCAGTCATTGCCCTAATTTTTTTTCAAGGGGTGGCTGTCTTTCAACCAAACATCTCTCGTATGTAAAATTATTGTTAATTTGGATAGGATGGAGGAAGAATGTACTTTGTCTATAAATTTAATTATATCATTAAATTACTATCAATTTAAATAGTGAAATTAGTTTGCTATCTAAATTGTACATGAAATTTATGTCCACCCTGTATAAGAATTACACATCTTGCCAGGCACCTGTAATTCTAGCACTCTGGGAGGCTGAGGTGGGTGGATTGCCCAAGCTCACAGGTTCGAGACCACTCTGAGCCAGAGTGAGACATCACCTCTAAAAATAGCCAGGCATTGTGGTGGGCCCCTGTGGTCCAAGCTACTAGGGAGGCTGAGGCAAGAGAATTGCCTGAACTCAAGTTTGAGGTTGCTGTGAGCTATGACGCCATGGCATTCTACCAAGGGCAACAAAGCAAGGTCTCCAAAAACAAAAAAGGATTTATATATCTTGAGCTTATATCCAGTTTTGGTGCTTATAGCCCAGAGTAGATATAATAAAAATTACAATCATTTGTCAGTACTGAGAATGTATTACTTTTTTTCTTGGTCCTTGAAAGGGAGTATGTGTATTATTCAAATTTGAGAAGTCATTGTTTTAAATTTTTAAATTTTGTAGAGCTGGGGGTGGTGCGCGGTGTCTCACTGTGTTTCCCAGGCTGGTCTTGAACTCTTGGCCTCAGGTGATCTTCTCACCTTGGTCTCTCAAAGTGCCGGGATTACAGGCATAAGTTACCAGGCCCCACCTTGACAAGCTATTTTAAATGATGTATTAATAGCTATTCTATGGCAAGATCAAGGCTATAAATTACAAAGGGAAGGGAGCAGGTGGGGCAAGTGGCAGGTAGTGTTGCTCTCTGGAGGGGGTGGGGTGGGTCCCAGCCAGCACCAGTAGAAATCATGAGAGACCATCCAGAGACTGGAGGGCCCTTCGGCAGGAGTGAGAACATCACATGCAAAGGGGGTGCTTTTTCCTGTAAGAGCAGTGATGCCTTTAGAAGTGGACTGATCCTCTTTAAAAGTGCAAAGTTCGAATTTGCATAAAGAACGGCATTAAAATACCTGATAGAATTTTGCACATTCAGCTTGGCTCCTGTAGCTCAGCAGCTAGGGCACCAGCCACGTACACTAGAGCTGGTGGGTTTGAATCCAGCCCGGGCCCGCCAAACAACAACGACAACTACAACCAAAA